TACAGCGAGGGGTGCACAATAAACTAGCCACTTCAGTGGCAAAATCTAATCTGGATGATTCTTTTTTTACACAAAGGTTTTACAGGGTTACAGTTCCTACTTATCGATCTTTCTCTTGAAGATTTCAGCTGTTGTTCCTGCATTAATTTCTGATTTCTGCTGGTAACAGATTGAACAGTCTAGGCCCAAGAATGCTAGTTTTTCTCTCAATGTGTCCATGGCACTTCTACTTTTCACTTGATTTATTTTACATTTTCTTCCGTATCTCACTGCAGTATGTTATGGTAGTGTGTATATTTGAAACCAGGCTCTTAATGGCCACTAGTTAGACCAGTCCTATTATTATAATCACGGGGGAGCGTTAAACCCGTAAGATTCAGGGAACCGGAGCACAGATCCAATTCCCTAGATCAAGAGCCTCTCACCAGCATCAAGAAACCTTCCTTGAGGGGACCAGTCCTACAGCTTGTCCAAGTTTGTTTGTAGTTTTTTTTTTCTCATTAATTTCATGTCATCTGAGAACAAGGATACCTCTGGCTTAGTTTCTTCTGCTATGTTGTTCATGTATACAAGAAATATTATTGTTACAATCAGAATTAAGCACTAAAACAGCAAGGGTCATGAAGTTACACAAGAATTGGTACTGACTCAGTGGAATCCCATTTGTCACACTTGCCTATTCCAACATATCTTACTGGATAATAATTTATTTTCCTCTTAGATAATAATAATAATAATAATAATAATAATAATAATAATCAAGTGTTAAGCTTGATGTTCAACGTTAAGCCTGCCCTGTCCCTTTTAACTTTGTCAGTCTCCTGTGCATTTTCCAGTCAAACTAAGCACTAATTATTATTATAATCAAAAAAAGAAGCGCTAAGCCACAAGGGCTATACAGACTAAGCACTAAACTTACTTAAGCCTGCAATGGTCCGACAGCATTGCAGGGCAGGATGTGCTGAAGATGTTATATGTGAAGATCAGTGACCAGTGAGGGTCGGGAGTATGCAGAGGCAGAAACAGAAAGGGTAGTGAGGAGTGCTAAAGTTAAGATATAATCAAGGTTGCTGTTATAAAACTCCTGCTGACAAAAAGTCAAAGAGGGAGTCTGTATCAAATGTGGGATTGTAGTCTCCTGTCCAGTACTCTCTCAAATACCTTAAAGCCTACCCATCCCTCTCTCACTTTTGTTACTTGGTCAGATTTATAAGGAGGACTTGACATCTCTGAATCAGTGCTGGCTGTTATGATCTTATTCCTATCAATGTGCTCCACTACTATTCTGATGATGTTCTACATACATATTATGCTTGTCATGACACTGGCCAATACATTAATGCTACCTGTCTGTTCCCTGTATTAACTTAAGGTCACCGTTGATTCACACAGTGCTTCTGCTCCCTCTCTCAGAACCCATGGAGACATTGTCTGATTGGTCTTATTTTGTTTTAAGTACTGGTGGGTCCCACTTATACAAGAGGTTAGGTCCTGGGCTACTGATGTAAAGTGAAAAGTAGCCTTTCTTAACTTTCAAATGCATATAAAAGCATGTTTACACTATCATATATTAAATGAGCAATTGAGCTAGGCCTAAAAAATGCACATACAATACACAAAATACTTACCTTAAAATATTTTCATCCTTAATAGTGAGAAGTGAATAAATTTATTGCAGGAAGTCTGAATAAATGAAGAATGGATATAATTGAAAACTGTTGCATTAGCGAAATACCTCAAATCAATGCATTGTAAATTATGGGGGAGCGCTAAATCCATGGGGATTATATAGCGCTTGTGGGGGGGGGGGGGAAGGTTATTAAATTAAAGGCATTCAGGCTTCATTCAGGGAAACTGGAGCACAGATTCTATTTCCTAGATCAAGAGCCCCTCACCAACATCAAGGAACCTCCCGAGAGGAAAGCACTGTAAAATGGAACCTGCCTGTACCTAACTTACTCAGTAGTTAAGTCACCTCTTATCCCTTTGTATATAACATCCAGCATTGTTCGGAGAAGGCAACTAGTGGTGATGACTTACTGGCAGCATGTGAACCCATGGTACTACCTGCTCTCCCTCTGAAGATACTTCTCTAGTACATCAGACACAAGACCTGACACTGAACAGCCTCCTGACACAGCTGTGTTCATGCTGACACTCTGAACAGCCTCCTGACACAGCTGTATTCATGCTGACACTGAACAGCCTCCCGACACAGCTGTATTCATGCTGACACTGAACAGCCTCCTGACACAGCTGTATTCATGCTGACACTGAACAGCCACCTGACACAGCTGTATTCATGCTGACACTCTGAACAGCCTCCTGACACAGCTGTATTCATGCTGACACTCTGAACAGCCTCCTGACACAGCTGTATTCATGCTGACACTCTGAACAGCCTCCCGACACAGCTGTATTCATGTTGACACATGAACAGCTCTAACAGCTATTCATCTGACACTGACAGCCCCCAAACGCTGTATTCATGCTGACACTGAACAGCACAAACAGCTGATCATTGACCTGAACACCACCGACACAGCTGTATTCATGCTGACACTGAACAGCCACCCAACACAGCTGTATTCATGCTGACACTCTGAACAGCCTCCTGACACAGCTGTATTCATGCTGACACTATGAATAGCCTCCTGACACACTGTATTCATGCTGACACTGAACAGCCTCCCGACACAGCTGTATTCATGCTGACACTGAACAGCCACCCAACACAGCTGTATTCATGCTGACACTGAACAGCCACCCAACACAGCTGTATTCATGCTGACACTGAACAGCCACCCAGCACAGCTGTATTCATGCTGACACTGAACAGCCTCCTGACACAGCTGTATTCATGCTGATACTCTGAACAGCCACCCGACACAGCTGTATTCATGCTGACACTGAACAGCACCCACACAGCTGTATTCATGCTGACACTGAACAGCACCCACACAGCTGTATTCATGCTGACACTGAACAGCACCGACACAGCTGTATTCATGCTGACACTGAACAGCCACCCGACACAGCTGTATTCATGCTGACACTGAACAGCCACCCAACACAGCTGTATTCATGCTGACACTGAACAGCCACCCAGCACAGCTGTATTCATGCTGACACTGAACAGCCACCCAGCACAGCTGTATTCATGCTGACACTGAACAGCCACCCGACACAGCTGTATTCATGCTGACACTGAACAGCCACCCGACACAGCTGTATTCATGCTGACACTGAACAGCCACCCGACACAGCTGTATTCATGTGACACTGAACAGCCACCCGCACAGCTGTATTCATGCTGACACTGAACAGCCACCCGACACAGCTGTATTCATGCTGACACTGAACAGCCTCCCGACACAGCTGTATTCATGCTGACACTGAACAGCCACCCAACACAGCTGTATTCATGCTGACACTGAACAGCCACCCGCACAGCTGTATTCATGCTGACACTGAACAGCACCAACACAGCTGTATTCATGCTGACACTGAACAGCCACCCAACACAGCTGTATTCATGCTGACACTGAACAGCCACCACACAGCTGTATTCATGTGACACTGAACAGCCACCGACACAGCTGTATCTGCTGACACTGAACAGCACAACACGCTGTATTCATGCTGACACTGAACAGCCACCACGCACAGCTGTATTCATCTGACATGAACAGCACCGACACAGCTTACATGTGAACTGATCAGCCCCCAACAGCTGTATTCTGCTGACACTGACAGCCCGAAAGCTGTATTCATGCTGACACTGAACACCACCCAACACAGCTTATTCATGCTGACACTGATCAAAGCCACCTCAACCAGCGATTAATGCACTGAACAGCCTCAGCACAGTGATCATGCTGAATGAACAGCCACCAGCACAGCTGATTCATGGCACTGAACAGCACCTGACAGCTTGATCATGCTGACACTGAACAGCCACCATCACAGCTGTATTCTAGCTGACACTGACAGCCACTCACACAGCGTTATATCGCTGACATGACAGCACAGCACAGCTGTATTACATGCTGACACTGAAATGCCACCCGACACAGCAGTATCTGCTCATGGTGTCTATGTCAGTAACAAGTGAGTTTGTCATAAGGTTAGGTTAGTAAGATTTTAGGAAAACAGGACAATGCATAGAGGTATTTCATTACAGAACATATGCTTATAAATCATCCTTTGCGGCATTTTCTAGTGACATTACGAGTGAGGGTGATGTCAAGACATGCCTGTATACATTCCTAATCTTAACTCAATCTTTGTCTAAATCTCGATCAAACCCACAGCATTAGGCACAACTTTGAAGGGATCTGGATCAGGCCCCACTAGCATTAAGTGCTCAACTGAAGGGCTCGGATCAAGAGCCCTCACCAGCATTAAGGCACCAACTTTGAAGGGCTATAGGATCAAAAGCCCTCACCAGATCAACTAACTTTCCTTAGTGTATGTACTAAAAAGGCTCTATTTCCTGTATGTCGCACAATGAGCATTTATTACTTTATGAAGTGCTTTAAAACCCCTAGGGTCTTACAGTGCCTAAAAAAAAAAATTGTCAGGGTTTTATCCTTGGGGGTTTTTACTTCATGGGGGATTCTAAACCCTATGGGTTATGCAACATTGGGGTAATGGAAGACATTCAATCGATTCAAGGGAAAAGGACACTTTAAATCTTTAAAATCACGAGCCCTTCACCACACAAGCAACTGCCCCCTTTGAAAGGGGTTTCCAAGGGAAGTTAACTGAAAATTTCCCTTTGGGTTTAAAGCCCCTTTTGGGAGGGGTTACCTACCTCAAGGGGATAAAAAAAAAAAACCCCGATTAAACACTGAACCCTTTTGCATCTTTTCCCCTTGTTTAATTTAAACTGTAAAACTTACTTTTTTTCCCTCATTTTTATTTTTCTGAGCTTTAAACATGTCATAATAACCAGCAAGATGTGAGGCTATAAAGGTTGCTCATAAAATAATACCATTTATAAAAAACTTTATTTTCCTTAAATTAATAATTTATGTACAGGGCTCCCACGGAATGCCTTAGGTAGCATTCATAACTTTTGAATTTCATAAAAGACATGGTACATATTACCCAAATCACTTCAATATTTACTCAAAATATTTGTTTCACAGTGAGAAAAAATATATTAACTTCGCCATTTAGCAGTATACTGTGATAACCCAGGGAAACTGAACCTGTTATGAGACAATGACACTAGGACAAGTTCCTGCTAGAAATGCATTATTATCACTGCTAAGATTAAATAAAATTGTTAATGATGCAATATTACTGGTAATGAAGCAAGAGTACAGATACACACAAAAAAGGGGGAGGGGGAGGGGGGTTGTGCTGATGCAATAAATCACCTCCGATATTTTATTACAGAAACTAATGTTACACACACTATTTAATACACCTCTTAAAATTTAACAAAAACTCACACTGTATTCAACATAATGAAAACACACACAATTTTCCTTTTACTACCAGGAGCAGCAAAACTAGCAGAAAAACAACCTAAAGAAGAACTGAGCCTCACGACAATTCTCAGATCACAGGCACATAGAAATTCCACCTGTTAAAAAGGCCAGTGCTGGCAGTAGAGTACTTATAGTAAAGCACACGTTGAAAAAATATTTATTATAAACATCCTCTGGCAACCTGACATTCCATAAATCCATATACTGAAGATGAGAAAACAAAAAAAAAAAGTCTTAAAGTTTTTCATACGGGTAAAGAATGAGACACCAGCAGTTGAAGACATGTACTAGTGAACACACAATTTACTGCTTCCTCAGTAATAAAGAAAATCAATGTATACGACTTATGAGAAATATACGGAAAGCTGCATAATGCATCAGAACAAAAGAAAATTGTAGTTGAATATTTGGTGTCTTAAGAAAGAGAAATTCAATGCTTCACAACTCTTCATCCATAAAACCTTTATATAACCAATTTCCTGTATAGATTTAAACAGTAATAACAAATAGTATTGTGGAAATATATAACTATAGTTTAGAAAAAAAAATATTGAAAATAAACAGAACACTCCGAGGCATTATATGGCTCATCTGTTTAGTTGGATCGTAAGTAACAAAAATGTCCATAAATAACTTATGGGAACACAGTTTGAGTCTACAACAGAGAGCTTTAAGTGTAAAGTGAAAGGCAAAGACAGATGTATAACACACTTTCATTTTACAACAAAATCCACTCATCACATACAAGTCCAGAGTAATTTACACTTCAAGGCTAGGTAGAGCAGTCCTCACTCCACATCCTCCTCGGTTACTTTGGATCCACCGGCTGCCTGCAGTATGCTCTACAGGAGAGAAATAAGTCATTATCCAAACACATTTAAGAACATAAATGAAGATCTGCAAAACTTCAGGACAAAAAATAATAAGAGAAAGAATTGAAGTTGGATGTTGTCCTATACATTATAAATGGGAAACAAGAACATAAATGAAACTGTAAAAGCCAACCTTTTTTTTCATGCATGACATACACACTACCGTCCTGCCAAGTGAGTGTGAAACAAAAGTCTGTAATTGTTTTACATGATGGTAGGATTGCTGGTGTATTTTGTCTGTCTCAAATATGCAAGATTACAGGTATGTCTTGCTACTTCTACTTACACTTAGGTCACACTACACATACATGTACATGTTTATTTATACACACTCATCTGAATTTTCTTTGATTTTATCTTAATAGTTCTTGGACTTACTACTTTTCCTTTTATATCCATGGGGAAGTGGAATAAGAATCTTTCCTCCGTAAGCCATGCGTGTTGTAGAAGTCAACTAAAATGCCGGGAACAATGGGCTAGTAACCCCTTTCCCTGTAATAATTACTAAAAAGAATAAGAAGAAAATTGTCAAAGTGGGAAGTCTGAATGTGCGTGGATGTTGCACAAATGATAAGAAAGAAATGATTGTGGATGTTATGAATGAGAAGAAGATGGATGTCCTGACTAAGTGAAACAAAGCTGAAGGGGGTGGGAGAGTTTCAGTGGAGAGGAATAAATGGGATTAGGTCAGAGGTTTCAAATAGAGTTAGAGCTAAAGGAGGAGTAGCAATAATGTTGAAGGATAAGTTATGGCAGGAAAAGAGGGACTATAAATCTATATTTAATTCAAGGATTATGTGGAGTAAAATAAAGGTTGGATGTGAAAAGTGGGTTATAGTAAGTGCATATGCACCTGGAGAAGAGAGAAGTGAAGAGGAGAGAGAGAGATTTTGGAAAATGTTGAGTGAATGCGTGGGGAGTTTTGAACCAAGTGTGGTTATTATTATTATAATCAAAAAGAAGCGCTAAGCCACAAGGACTATACAGCGCTGCAGGGCAGGAAGGAAGCGAGGGCATCAGGTGGCAAAAGGGAGATGGATGAGTAATAGGTTACGGATAACAGCGGGGCAGTGGATGGTGAAAGGGTAAAGGGCAGCAAGAGACTGAACTAGAAAGGGTTGAGGGGAGTGCGAAAAGTATCATCAGAGTTTGTGGAGTAAATCAGTCGTTGTCAAGAAGTCAATGAGAGAGTCAGGATTAAAGGGGGGTCCATCAGCAAGAAGGGAAGGTAAAGAGAGAGTAGTAGAACGAAGACGACGTTGGAGGTAAATTCTGCGTGCTCGTTGATAGAGAGGGCAGTCTAACAGAATGTGGCTAATCGATACTGGAACTTGACACTGCTCACAGAGAGGAACAGGGTGCCTCTCCATGAGATACCCATGAGTAAGACGAGTGTGACCAATGCGAAGGCGGGAGAGAGTGGTCTCCCAACCTCGGCACTGATGACAAGAAGACGGCCAGTAACCTATGCTCGGTTTAATAGAATGAAGTTTGTTACCGAGCACAGTTGACCAACGTTGTTGCCAACGGGTGCGAAGGTGGGTAGCTATTGCAGCAAAATAGTCCAGAAATGGAACACCTCGATAGGAAATTGGTAGGTCATGTACTGCTGACCGCGCAGCAGTGTCTGCCTGTTCATTGCCCTGTACGTTGACATGACCAGGGACCCAACAAAAAACAATATCTTTATGTTTGGTAGAGATACGGCGTAGCCAAAGTTGGATACGGAGAACTAGGGGATGAGATGTATCAAATTTTCGTATAGCCTGTAGAGCACTAAGGGAGTCTGAGACTACTACAAATGATGACACAGGCATAGATGCGATACGAGTAAGTGCTGCAAGAATGGCATACAGTTCAGCAGTAAAAATGCTAGCTGAAGATAGTAAATGTCCCTGCACGATGCTGTCCGGAAACACTGCTGCGAATCTGACGCTGTCTGAAGACTTAGAGCCATCTGTGTACACAGCGGTGGCATGAGAATGGGAGTGGAAGTGATCAAGAAAAAGAGAGCGGGAAGCCACCGTAGGCAGTTGAGCTTTCGAGCAAGGGAGTGAGAAAGAACAGACCCGAACAGCTGGAACTTCCCAGGGGGGTAGGGAAAAGTGAGATGCTACATGAACATATAAAGGTGGTAACTGAAGGGAAGACAAGAGTGAATGTAGGCGAAGAGAAAAGGGACGGAGCACACAGGGGCGGCGAACGAATAAAGAATGTCTACTAATATCGGTGACCATTCTATAAATGGAAGGACTGTGTAGATCGTGAGAGCGTACATAGTAGCGAAGGCAATGGGCATCACGGCGATCAGACAAGGATGGAACATTCGCTTCTGTATAGAGGCTCTCAACAGGGAAAGAGCGAAAAGCACCAAGGCACAAACGTAATCCTTGGTGATGGATAGAGTTAAGGCTAGAGAGAGTAGCAGGAGAGGCCGCGGAATAAATCTGGTCACCATAATCGAGTTTCGATAAAACGAGGGCTGAATGTAGGCGAAGCAGAGTTCGACGATCAGCTCCCCAGGAAAGATGAGCAAGGGTTTTAAGAAGGTTTAGCCGGCTGTGACAAGTTGCCTTCAGAGAGGTTATGTGAGGTTTCCAGGATAACCGACGGTCAAAGAGAAGGCCTAGAAACCTGACTGTATCACGTTCGGGGATACGGGAGCCATAGAGATACAAAGGATGATCGGAGATAACAGAGCGTCTAGTGAAAGTAATTTGGTGAGTTTTGGTACTAGAAAATTTAAACCCATGCGTGGTGGCCCAAGTGGAAACACGGTCGACCGCATGCTGGAGAGAAACTGCAATAAGATGACAGTCAGCGCCTGCACAAGCAATAGCGAAGTCATCAACATAGAGTGATGACCAAATATTGGGTGGAAGAACAGAGGCCAAATCATTTATAGCAAGGAGAAAAAGTGTTGTGCTTAGAACACATCCCTGAGGGACACCTTCAGCTTGGACGAAGTCCGGGGAAAGAACATTACAGTGGACCCCCGGTTAACGATTTTAATCCGTGCAAGAGGGGTAATTGTTATGCGAAATAATCGTTATGTGAATGAATTTTCCCCATAAGAAATAATGGAAATAAAATTAATCCGTGCAAGACACCCAAAAGTATGAAAAAAAAAATTTTACCACATGAAATATACATTTTCCCACACACAAAGAGAAGGATACATGCACAATAGTAGAGTAGTACATGCACAGTATATATTGTGCATGTACTAGTCTACTAAATGAAGAATAAATGACACTTACCTTTATTGAAGATGCAGCAATGACTGATGAGACACTGTGTCCTGGGAGTGCCTTTTCCTCCTGAGTACTGTAGGTCCTGTTTGGCATTTTCTTCCAGAACAGGCCTTATCACACTGTGTATTCCACTACGATTCTTAAATCTCTCAAACTAACCTTTGCTGGCTTTAAATTCACCAATATGAGCACTAGTTCCAGGCATTTTTCCCTGTTCACCTGGGTGTTAGTCGACTTGTGTGGGTTGCATCCTGGGAGACAAGATTAAGGACCCCAATGGAAATAAGTTAGACAGTCTTCGATGACACTGACCTTTTTGGGTTATCCTGGGTGGCAAATCCTCTGGGGTTAATTGTTTCTTGGTATTCTCAATAAGCCACACCAACAACGGTGCTACAGCAGCAGCAGCAGCTGACAGTGCAGCAGCAGCAGCAGCTGACAGTGCAGCAGCAGCAGCAGCTGACAGTGCAGCAGCAGCAGCAGCTGACAGTGCAGCAGCAGCAGCAGCTGTACCACCAATAGTAGCGATGGTTGATTGGGGTTTATTATACAACCTGGCCAGCTCGGAGACATGCACTCCACTTTCATACTTATCAATGATCTTTTTCTTCATCTCTATTGTAATTCTCACCCTTATTGCTGTAGGGTTGGCACTAGAAGCTTTCTTGGGGCCCATGGTCACTTATTTTCCAGAAAAAAGCACCGAAAACACTGTAATAATACGAAATATTCCGATTGTATGCTTGGATGTTACCGCGGAGGCTGGCTGGTAAACAATGCCACCGGCGGAACATGTGAGCGTGGCTCAGGCCGCACATTGGACGCGTCTCGGACGAAAATCGGTAAGCGGGTTTTTAAGCGGTATGTGAGGCAAAATTTTTGCAATTAAAGTAAGCGGTATGCGAAATAATCGCTATGTGATGCCATCGTTATGCGGGGGTCCACTGTATTGACTCGAACGCGGAAATGTCTGTCAGTTAAAAAGTTCTTAAGGAAGGATGGTAGATTGCCTCGGAGGCCTAAGGAATGGGCCTGGGCCAAAATATTATACCTCCAAGTTGTGTCATATGCCTTCTCAAGGTCAAAAAATATGGTAATAACTGAGGGATTATTCGCAAAGGCATTACGAACATACGTATCCAAGCGTAGTAAGGGGTCTATGGTAGAACGACCCTTACGAAAGCCTTATTGACTAGCGGAGAGACTGTTGTGTCTCTCTAAATACCACATTAAACGTCGATTTACGAGACGTTCCATCACTTTGCAAACTGCACTAGTAAGAGCGATGGGGCGATAGTGGGAGGCATCATGTCCTGTAGTACCCGGTTTGCGGAAAGGGAGAACAATGGCAGATTTCCACAGCTGGGGAAGAACTCCTTGTGCCCAAATAAGATTGAAGAGGTGTAAGAGGACTACAAGGGCTGACCGATGTAAATGTTGTAACATACGAATATGAATGTCGTCAGGCCCAGCTGCCGATGATCGGCAAGCTGAGAGCGTTGCCTCCAGTTCTTGAAGTGTAAAAGGCACATTATACTGTTCTTCTCTGAGAGAAGGAAAGTCCAAGGGTACTAACTCTCTGGCAGACTTTGAGGAAAGAAACGAGGGGCATAGATGGAGCCCTCGGGAAATATGGACCAGATGTGTGCCAAGTTCAATGGCAACGTCGAGAGGGTTTGCTACATCAACACCAGCGACCCGTAGAACAGGAGCCGG